AAAAAATTAAGTAAAAAAACTCAAAATTACATTATTTCAATAAAACAATATAAAAAAAGAGTACAACAAATTTTAAAAATTAAGATTTTCAAGGAGCATTAAATAAAATGATAGTGTTTATGATATTTTTCACTTAATTTTTTAGGTATGATCGATAAATATTTTATTTTAATTATAGTATTATAATTGTATTTTTAAAATAAAAATGAGATAAAAATACACATGTTAACTATTCTTTTTGTTTATTTTTAGGAAATTTAATTTAATTTTTTAATTTTTAATATAAAATTTAGATAAAAATTTAATAATTTATATAAATAATATTTTAAAAAATTTATATAAAATTTTTGTCAAGTATTTTTATTTAATAATTTTTTTAATTATTATTTATATAATGCATTAAATTTTTATCCAAAATTTATATTTAAAAAATTAAAAAATTAAAAAATTAAATTTACTAAAAGTAAATAAAGATAGTAAACAACTATATTTCAACAAAATAAGATAAAACTCCTTTATATTGATTGATGGTACCATTTTTCAAAATGTCTCTGCTATTGCTTTAGGTTCGTCTTCTACTGGCGTGTCTCTGCCACGCAACATAATTTAAAGCCACCCAAACAAAAGATTATGGTAATGAAAAAGAAAGAGAGAGGAGAGGAACAAGTCGAAGAAGAAACAACAAAGGAAGGCGGGCCAAAAAATTGGAAGAAAATTGATTTATTTATTTTGAACTTATAGTTGATAGAAGATTAAAATGTATAATACCAATATCAATTTGGGTATGTTAATATTTATTAATTTAATCATTTTAATTTAAAATTAATATTAGATATATAAATTTATATAATGTTAAATAGCATTTTAAAAAATTAAGAAAAATGATTTTAAAATAATTTTTTTATCATTTTGATTTTATTTATTTATTTAAAATTTATTATATTAAATAAATAAATTTATTTAATAATAAATAAAAATTATATAAAAATTTATGAAAAAATTATTTCTACATCTATTCTTAAAAATTAAAATATTTAATTAACGAGATTAAAAATTAAGTTGAAGGATTTGTTTGGCTTTAAATCAATTATATTTGAGTGAAAATTGACTACATAAATAGGAGTATATCAATAAAGAAATGTTAATCAAAAAGAAAAACAGAAAATTAATCAAAATAAAATAAGTTAAATTAATGAGAAACAGTAAGGAGCCACGGAAGAACCTGGAAAAAGGAGATAGGAAGGGTATATCGTGCAACCGTGGGAGGCGGCGTGGTGAGATGGTTCAAATTGAGCAATATATATAGAAAAACCTGGTAAACAAATTAAGAAGAAGAAAATAGGAGTTCGGGCTTCGGATGGAGGAGAGGCGTCGCGAGATGGTTCAGATTGAGTTGCGTTAGAATTATGGAGTAAAAGGGACAAGGGGTGGGTTTGGTTGCTGAAATAATCAATCAGTCGTTAAAATTCATTTCATTATATTACATGCAAAAAAAACCCTTCCTAAGCGTTCAAACTTACCCCAAATTAGTATTTATGCCCTTAAACTAAAAACATTGTAAATAAGCCCTTCAACTCCTCGATTGATGCAGATAAGCCTTTTATAACTAATGGAGAATTGGGGATGGTACTCAAGTTAGAGTCTGGCAGCATAACTGGATACAGGGGTTAAAGTCCTTTGAACCATCTTTTCGGCCAGTGGGTTATTCTGATGATTTGAGGGTGAGTGAGTTGATAAATGTGGATAATGTCTTGGAATAATGCATTATTGGAGACTATTTTTCACCAAATGATATTGCCGTGATTAGAGCCATCCCTTTGAGTAGAAGATATGAAGATACATTAGTTTGGAGCCCCTCGGCCAAGGGTGAGTTTATTGTCCGTCTGCATATCATTTGGCATGGAATTTAACTTATAAATATATTTTTTTGTCATTAATTTATATTGGTAAAAAAATTCACTTTTTATTTATTAGATATCTAATTGAATTTATCTATGTGACAACAAAACTAAAATTAATGTCAATTTTTACTTTTTTTATATAAATTTATAACAAAAGGTGCCCTTAACTTATGTTTTTAGAGTATAAATTAAAAAAACCTTTAAATTAATACTTGTGATATTGATACTAAAACTAATATTAATTTTTCTGATTTTATTAGGAATTCTACTATCAATTTAATTAAATTAATTGTCACATTAATTCTAAAATTAATATTAGTTTTTCTAATTTATATCTTTATGGTACAAATTAAAGGCATATTTTTATTATAAATGTATAAAAAAATATAAAAATTAATATTAATTTTAGTACTTATATCAAATGAATGAATTTAATTAAACAATTAATAAATTAAAAGTTAATTTTTATTTTTTTTATATAAATTTATAAAAATATAATTATTTATTTATTAAATTTTTAATCTTAGGACATAAATTGAAAAAACTTATTTAAACTTCTTTGTTTTGGCCCTTTATTTTATTATCAATTAAATTAATACTTATGGTATTTATGTTAAAACTAATATACTTCTGTTTGTTTAAACCGCAACTCTACTACCAAAGAAGGGTAATGACAAAAAAGAGAGTAATGATTAAAATTCATGAAGCCTCTCCAGAGCTCTAGTAGCAGAATTGCAAGCCAAACTTCGAAAGAGAGTAAAGTGGGAATGAGAGACTTTGGGCCTATTTCGCCTCATAAAAACAAGAAGAGCAAGAAACAGCTCAGGAGCAAAGAAATTTCCAAACCGAATTTCCAAGAGCAGCTATTCACCCAAATTTGGAAACAGGACTTAATCCGTAGATCTGGGACTGGGAGGCATAAATTGTTTTCAACTTGGGCGAATGCCCAGCCTCAGGTTCCAAAGCATCTACAATGGGTAGCCGCAACTCTTCTCGACATCTACAAACGATGGATTTCTACTTGTTTAAGTGCTTTTCTTTTACAAGAGTGTCTTTTAGTCCCTGGTGGCCTTTTTATGTCATACCACGGGACAAAATAAATGCACACCTTACAAATCCAAAATTATAATGTTTTTAATCTCAATTCTTATTTACTGCACTAGATATTCACCATATTCGTTACAAAAGTAAAGTGGATCTTGTTCTGCACCTGTACTACAGCAATGAAGGAGCAAAATACTGCTTCATCCACAAATTCATCTGTCGGAATATCTTGAGTACATAACTGTTCATCGAAGTTTTCTCTTTAGCCAAAATTTTACGTTTCCACACGGAAAAGGAGGGGGAGAAAAGAGAGAGTGTGAGATATGGATGAGACAAATACGCTCAGATTGAGACGCTTATTCTTAACCAGTTATGTAAACAGATGGAGCTTGAGTTTTAAAGCATTAATGCATTTTTTTTATCATAAATTTATATTAAAAAAATAAATATTATTTTTTAATTTATTAATTATCAAATTAAATTCATTCACATGATAATTACACTAAAATTAATATTAATTTTTATATTTTTTATATAAATTATGAGGCAAAATTATCTTTAACTTATGCTTTAAAACCATAGGTTAAAAAAACTCTTTTATCATTTAAACATTAACACTGGAAATGAGAAAATTATGTACTAACAAAAGACCAAATATGCAAATTGCCCCTCCCTCTTAAATATTTTTGAATTAAAACAAATTAACTACTAAAAAGACAGTTGAAGCAATTTTTCACCTCAAAATTTTATTTTAAAGAAATCAACCCAAATTTAATAATTGCAGTAAACTTTTTGTTAAACATCCAGCGCAATTGTTGCAGTTAACTTTATGGTAGACTTCTGAAGCAATAGTTTAACAACACACCAATTTCTTTAAAATGGAAATTTGAGGTGGCCATTTACTTCAACTTCCTTCTTTTTTTTTTTTTTTTTTTTTTTTTTTTTTTTTCCGGTAATTTGCTTCAACTCAAAAATTTTGGAATGCAATTTGCAGCTTCTGCACATAAAGAAATTAGCAAAGCCATGACGAATTGAAGCAACTTTTGGACTATTTTTTTTAAATGAGAAAAAAGGGTAATTTTATTCATAAAAAGAGTACAGGGAGTACCCTAACCCTTACAAGTTACAACACTTCACAAACTTAACTTCTTTACACAAAGACGCCTTGTCACAAAGCAGCCTTCTACAACTATACGGACACAAAAATATAGTCAACTGTCTTCAATGCAAAACACCAGAAAAGCAAGCCTAAAGACAAGGAAAGGATTGGCCAAATTAACCATTCTGCAACATAATATCAATCAATGCTGTAAAAATAACCCGCACGATGAACAACCATCAGCGATTGCTGAAAAAGTAGTTGGCACACTCTCTCGGATAAGTCCAATCATACAAAGAACTTGAATCTTCTTTTGATTCAAAAGGAAGCAGCATTAAAACTGTAAATCTGTAATGGAGAAAATCATGGTCAGAAAAAGAAAATATCATTTTGGTTGGTGTAATAAGTTGACAATAATGATGTTGGAACACCTTATAATCCAAGCGGTTGCCAGGTGAGTATCCTGTCAGAAAACTCTTTCACATCCTGCCTGTAGAGGATGAAAAAAAATATTGATATAATTCACCTAATAAGATTATAAATAATTATTTCCAAAATACTTACGGATGCATTTTCAAGTACTCATTTACTGCCATGTAAACATAACCAGATACATTTAATCTCTTCTCAATAATTGACTCCAAAGTATCAACAGGAATAGGATTTGGAGCAGACGCACTCGAATCAGCAGAGACTTGAACCTTCTAAAAGAGAAAAGTTAGAACCAAATTAATACATTAAAGCCATCTTATCCATTATTAACAGAACCTGGTAAAAATTCAGGGTTTTTTAGTTTCATTCTTTAAATATTCCTTTCACTACCTTTCACCTATACTCTACCATTTCAGGTAAGAAGCTCACTCTGGTCATCTAATTATTAATCTTATCACAATCAATCAAATGCATCATCTACAGCCAACATGTTGCCAAATAAAGAACAGCAGCAAACAGTATTCAACAATTCTTAACTGAAAAACTACTTGAAATAATGCTTTATAATGCTTTTACTTTATTAAAATACATGATAAGTAAAGCTGACCTGTGTGTGCAGAAGTTCGGTGTGCAAATGTTTGAAAATGTTCACATAGTACTTAATTATCGCTTCATTCTTCCCAGGAGTTTTATTAGACATGTTGCTGCTACCAACAGAAATTTTAGAATTTCTGGATCTGGAGATTTCATTCTCCTTCAAAACATCATTAAACTTAAATAGAGACTTCTCCCAGCTATCCCATTTGATGATATGTCTGAATTCCTTCTTGATTGATGGATTATAGCAGGTCTCCATATATACATCATGAACGTAATGCATCCGATCATGCCATCTGTGTAGGAAGGGTGGATCAAAGAAGAAACGTGCACAATGCCTGAAGGAAAGGAAGACAATTAAACCATAAACAAAAATTACAACTTGAAAAATAAGTAATTCAACTCACCTATGAGGCTCATAGGACTGCAAATATTTGTAAAGAATCTGAAGTCCCTTTGGAATATGGGCTGAAGGTCGTGAAAAAGATTTTGGAAATTTGAGATTTCCAATTCTCTTTAACTCATGTGCAGGAACTCCTACTGAGATTCCATATATAAAAGATACAACCTCGAACAAATTCTTCTTGAACTCACCACATCTCACAAGTACTTCCACCTTTGATAGAAATTTGACTTTATTTTCATCTGTGATGTATACTGAATTGAGCAAATCTGGATGGTAAGAACCTTCTGGAGCATAAACCATCAAATACCTAAAAAGAGGCCTACAAGGACATAAAAGAGAATAGAAAGATCAAAAAATAATAGGGATTGTGGGAAATTAGGACACCCTAACAACTAAAAAGCCAAGAATGATAATGAATCAACCCAGAAGATTCAATAAAAGTATTTGAACAATTTCAAAGGTAGTCCTGGCATTGTAAATAACAATACAATGTGATTTTCACTTTTCTCAAAATAATAACCAGTTAACCACATATATAGGAAAATACAAAACTACACACTTTTTTACCTCACTAAAGATTTGTCCAGCTATGATATTATCCCGATGCTGCCAACAATCTAGCTCATCAGATTCTAAAAGTTGTTTGGTCCAAGACATGAGTGTGGACTTAAAAGGCTCACAAATCAGAGTGTCATTAGGTTGATCATAAGCATACACTTCCAAACAAAGATTTGAAAACCTATTTGTTTGCATACGTGAAGCAAAATCACTATGCTGAGATACCTCTGTTTTAGAGAAGTTTTTCACTATGCAGCATTTCTTTACAACAACACCATTATTATACATCCCGTAGGATATATTGGGATCATTCACTGGATGAGGATGTCTTTCAGGATTCAGTGGCCAATAAGTGGTGGTAATGTGTACAGGTTCTCCATACATACAATAGACAGATTACAAATCAGTTTAAAATGCATAAACTATAAACATAGAAATTATTAAATGTTGATGAACTACTAAAACATAAGAGATCAGGAACTAAGCTCAGAAAACAAATTAGAAGTTATTAGAGTTTACCCATCATCGTCTTCTTGTCCTGTTGTTTGATCTTGCAGTCCTGTTAACGCAATTGAGGGGAAAAAAAATTAAGAATTCACAGGATTTTTCAATTGAAGAGAAAACCAAAATTTAATTAACTACGAGCACCATCATAATTCTACAATTAAAATCAGTTCAACCTCCCAATTCACATTCATTGTACAAAACTACCACAAAATTTCAATCTCTTTCATACTTTCTTTTATTTTCTCAGAAACCAAACAACCAACACCACAAAACAATTCTAACTGATCATTTTGAAGCAAACCCAGAATTCAATTACCTGCAAATGAGATTATTTAATGAATTCTCTATAATCGTATGAACTTCATTACAAAAATCAAATCACAATTAAATTTAGAAAAATCAAATCTCAATTTGCTTCAAAGGAAACTAATTTGCAAGCATAAGATCTGCAAGAGAAAAATAATTGATGAAAGCAAAGATTTCAGATAACTATTCAACACCGTCGGTAACCACGCCGGAATAAGTGGAGTATGATTTCTTACTACTGATTTTGCTAGGATCTTTAGACTAGATGGAAATCGAGGGGGAAGGAAGAAGAAGAGAGAAGCTGGAGCTTTAGCCCATCATGTTTTCGAAGGAAAACGAGCCAAACGTGTCTATCCTTTATTTACCAAAAGAAAAATCTAAAAAAGGGAATTAATTTGCCCACAAACTAAGTTACTCAATAATAATCTATTTCTTTTCGCTGAAAATAACAATTAATTACTGAGTTTCAAGTATCATACCATGCAACACGAAAGTGGGTTGGGATTAAGAGTTACTGATGAGGTGGGATAAGAGTTGTGCATCCAACCGAAAAAAAAAAAAAAAGCTTAAATAAATAAACACTGTAACAACAGAAAAGATGTTATCAAATTTAAATAAGCAAAATTAATTAGAGAACCTAAAAGAGAA